CCACTCTTACTTCCTTAAATCTTTGCCCTCAGCCCCTTTCACTGGGTTCTCTTCCTCTGCTTATCCCTTCAGTGTTCACATTTCCAAGGTTCCAGGTTTGGCCCTTCTCTCTTAGTTTTTTTGCCTTCTCTCTCTGGGAAACACTCACTCTCAAGGACTATACACTGTCCATCACCAATGATTTCCAAGTCTGCAACTTCTAACCTATCTTTATCCCTATAGCTATATGAATGTAACTTTCGTTAGTTATCTACATATCCTTTCAACTCAAATGAACCAAGACCAAATTCCTTACCATCTGGCCCAAGCCTGTTTCTCTTCCTGAGTCCTTAGCTTACTTAATCACTTTTATATCCACTCAGTAGCCAACCTCAGAACTCATTACCAACTCCTCATTGTTGCTCATCCACACCTCCATCTCACCCAATTGGCCTTCAATGGACTATCTTTTCCATATCAAATCCACCTCAATCTTCTCCTTGCCCTTGTGACTGCCATCACCATAGCTCATCCATCCCTTCATGTCCATCACAACAGTCTGCCTCTGTACCTCATTCTGCCATCTCTTTCCATGTCTAAACCACACGCATGTTCTTGCCTGCTATCTTTTTAAAAGATGGATTTAATCATCATCTTCATATAATCCCAGCCCTGAAAAAGCCAACAAGCCAATGCTTTAGACCTGTGCTATCCAAAATGGTAGCTACTAGCCAGTATTTAAATTTAAATTTATTAAGTTAAATAAAAGGGGAAAAAAAGAAATTCCTCAGTCACACTAGTCACATTTCAAGTGCTCAAGAGCCACATGTATTCAACTCACCCACAAACATCACTTCTCCTTGGAAACTTTCTCAACTCCTTGAAATATATAAACTGAGGAGCCCTATGTACTCTTGTATTTCTAGCCTCATCCTTGTCTCATTGCATGGTAATTGTGTATGGAGGTATCTCCTCCACCACCTGAGCTCCTCAAGGATGATGAGTGGCTGAATCCATGTCATCTTTGTGTTCTGGGCTTTTATAGTGCCTGATGCAGAGCAGATACTCATTTACTCCTATTTCTTCCTCTGAAGAGTTACCTTCACTAGACGGCTAACCAGGAAGAAACTATAAGATGCTCATTTCATAATGTGATACAAAAGCACAATGGGAAACTCAATCACATGCCTCCTCTTTTCAGGTACTGACTCAAGTGGCTCTCTGAGAATGGGCCCTTCTTTCCTCTGCTCACCCTCCCTTTCAAGATCAGACTCAGTTCTTGTCTTTTAGAACCACAGGGTAACAGTCTGGCAAGAGCCACTGTTGTACCAGCTGATTTAAACTGAAATGTTTTCCCCAGATAAATACGTGCTAAATAATACACCAGCTCCCCAGCCAAAGGGAAGTGACAGGCACTCTGTAAATAAAGGCACTTAGTTGCTGGTAAAGAGCTGTAAAGTGGTTCTGAGCTGATGTTTGCTGACCAGCAAGAAGCAGCTTCACCTGCTTTATATAATTGTCACTGCAGTCCTGCCTGCTGTATATTAAAACTGCATCTCATAGACCCAACTGTCACACCGGATATACCATCCAGCATGGGGTATGCCACCTTTCTCTGTAATTGTTTTTGACAACCAGCCATCACATCTCAGATCTTTTCAGAAAGCGTCGGGTCCAAAATCCCTAGGCTGGGTCAGTTCTGACACCATGTGGGCTAGAACAGTGGCACCAAAAGGGAATGTGAATAGAGAAGAGGGAAAAGAGGCTTTGCTAGTCTCGGAGACCAAATAATGCACACTGGCAAGTGTCTGAACACAAATCTCAACAAAGACTCTACCTCCTCAATCTTAAGACACATTTTTCATGTGGCATGGTATCATGCTAGAAAAACTTCCCATTGAGATGCATGCATATTTTGGCCCCAGAGCACACACGCTTGCCCTGAGTCCACATTTCTGTCCTGCTGAGTTCTGGAGAAATGGTAATGTAGCTCTCAAGACAAAGCCAAGGATGGGTGTTTCATAAGGACTACAGAATAAATAGTGATGAGAAGCAGGTAGTAGTGGCCAGAAATCTATGTTGCTATCACTCAGGGGAAGTTAGATTTGCTTCCCAACATGAAAAGAGTAACACAAAATCCATTTTGTACCCTCTAATTCCAATCTACTTGGGATGTGGTTGTGACAAATGCCCCGATGAAGGGTAATTAAAATATCTGAGGCCAATGAGCATTCCAGCTGGTCAAAAGTTTCTCAAGGAGGGAGACTGGCAGGGAGACCTAGTTTGTCCCTCCAGCCCCACGGGCTGGGACAAACCCAAGGAGTGGGCTTTGATGAATACAGAGCACTCACTCATCAGAGAGAAAGTCACTTCCTGTGCTGATGGCCACTGCTAGACTTTTGGAAGGTCAGAGTGTCCCCAGAGGAGGATGTTAGAAACCAAGGACAAGAGAACAGCAGACAGAGTGAGAAAACAAGGGGAAATATGGGCTCAGTGTGCCCGGAGCTCTGGCAGTCTCTCACTGAGAGCAGAATGAACTGCTTGCTGGCTGCTGAGGCGCATGGGCTCCACTCCACTGCTGACCAAGAGTCTGAAAATTGCCACTGGTCATGGGATCGACCCTCAGCCTTCTTTGGTGTGTATGTGTGTGTGTTTAGGGGGTTGGAGGTACTAAAGAAGGAGTTCCCTTCTCTTTTTTTGTGCAGGAAAAATATGCTCCATTTCCCTTTCCTCCTTATCTCCCACCAAAGCCTATTTTCCTTGCTCGTTCCTGTGCTACAAGAGTTAAGAAGGCTTTTGAGAATTGGGCATGTGCAGAGAGGAGGGGAAGCATTTTTACCAGGGTGGCCATCATATAGGATCTGAGAGGCGGGGACAGGTTTATGAGAGCTGGAAGGAACACCATGTCAGACGCACACGTAACTCAATTATGCATTGAGATTCTGATCTATGGACCTTGACAATCACAATTATTGAGCTGGGAGAAAAGAGACATACTGGGGAAAGGGAGTATTTTCCTGCCCCTCCTGCTTAGTTCCATCTCCCCCCGAAGGAAGCACTTCTCCTTCTTCCACTTCTTTCCATTCCCCTTGCTAGGTCCCACCAGGAGAAGAGGAACATCTAATCAGGTTGGTGAGTGTGTTCATTGGACCGGGCTTTGTTAGTGTGCAGATTATTGTGCCTTAAAGTAGTGCACACGAGTCACCTAGGAACCCGGATAGAATGCAGATTCTGACCCAGGAGGTTTGCGGTGGGCATGAGATTTTGCATTTCTAACAAGGGCCCCGGGGGACGCTCATGCTGGTATGGAGTTGGGAGGACACACGTGGAAGAACTACTTAAAGGCAGGAACCAAACAGAGGCTTGCCTCTTCCACCTCCCAGAAGGCCAGCTTACTGTCTCCTCATCTCCTCTGTCACCTGTGCTTCCTGAGCAGGCAGGACAGGAGGCAGGCTCTGGCTCTCCAGTACATAGCTGGGTAAGTAACACTCTCTTTTAGAACCGTGACATGTTGCTCTGCCCTGAGGCCCAGCTGAGCAAGTGGATACCAAGATTTAGATTTGGGGGCGAGGCGGAGGATGGCAGAGGGGAGAGGTCAAAACCAGGCTTCAGCCCATAGCAGTCAGGGGTACGTCAAGAATAGAAGCCACTCTATTCCAAGTATGAAGAAAATTGGATGTTGATGCAACCATTGGAAGGGCTGTAGGAATAAAAGTCAAAGAGGCCACCACTAGCCATTTCACTTGCAATACCAAGGAGGTGCTATAGATCTCCAGGCAACTCAGAGAAGGCCGCACCACCCTCCTCAGCCTCTAGGAGCAAGGCCGGCGACTCTCAGAAAGCTCCCTTAAGAGATGTTTTGAACCTCGCCTCTGCTCAGGGTCTGGCCGCTGCTGCCTCCAAAGAATCAAGGCCTCTTTGTCTCTTCTAAATTCCAGATCTCGTCCCGGTGCCCCACTCTCATTGACAGACACCAGCCTAGAACTGTGCAGGGCAGAGGATTCTAGGAACTGCCGTTCCCAGCTCTGCTGCACTGTTGAGCAGATGCTGGAAGGAGGTGATGCGGGTGCTGAGCTGACAAGAAATCAAGCAGCACACGTCTGGGCTGCATGATGGGGCTGAGCTTGATCCCGTCAATAAGGTGGTGCTTTGTATCCCAGCAGCTAGACTTCTCACGGGCTGCACTCCCTCTGCCTTTGGTCCTGGGATGATGGGATTCAGACCCCCATCACACACCCAATGTCACCCATCCAGCAGACCACTTATGACAATGATCCTGTGGTTCATGGCAAGCCTGCACAGAAGCAGTCCTGCCAAGGCTCTGATTAGTGAGGCTGTTTGTTACAAGGTTTTGCCACGCTGCCTCTCTGAGACTTTAGATGACATCTTTACTAGCAGCTATCTGCCCAGGATCCCAGAGAAAATGACAGGGGAGATGGGGGCAGAGCAGAGAAGGCAGATGTACATCATTCCACTCTGGCATGCCTCCTGTAGAGAGCGTGTGGGCTGATGAGCATCACCGCTTACTAAATGGCTTTTCGTGCCCATATAGTCCCCACTGTCTGGGGGGTCACCATCCGTAGGTCAGCGTATAACAAGGTAAAGCTTAACACCCCCATGCAGCTATAACAATGGCAAAGCTTAACATAGGTCAATGGCAAAAATATATACTGCAGAGAAACATTAGGATCAGCCAGCATCTGTGCAGTGCCTGACATTTAGCTGGTGACCCTGGTCATAAAGGCACTGTTTGGGAAGACTGAGGGAGTGGCAGCTGAAAGGTTGCTTTCGTCTCCGGGAAGGCAGCCTATTCAGAGTGTGGGTGTTCAGGTCTCAGGCCTGCTTCCCGTGATGGTAAGAAGAGGCAGCAGATGCCCCTTTGAAAGCCATCACTGCGACTGCAGGTTTTACTGCCAGGCAGGCTGATGTGAGCCTCTTTGAATTACTGAGTGAAGGATATCCCTCTTGCCAGCCCCTGTCCCCTGTAGGCACAGCAGAGAAGTATTACAGGCTGTCCTTACCTTGGGAATTAGCCTGCAAGACCCCGATGCTGTCATCAAACTGCATAGATTTGATGTTGAGTGACGCCAAGATGCATTCCTTGTCCTGCAGCGAAGTATCATCAATATTATTCTGATTGGCTGACAGGATAACGCACATGTCACAGAGGTTGATGTTGACGGCCCTTAAATCAGCCCGACTTAATGGCGTACCCTTTGGCATCGAGGAAAGGAAAAAAAAAAAAAAAGAAGAAGCAAAAGTGAGACCGAGGGACGAGAGGGAAAGAAGAAAAAATAAAAAATAAAAACAAATTAAAGATGGAGCCGGAGCTTTGGGAAATTATTTAACAAGTATCTTTTTTATGCCTTGACATTAAGCTGGCCTAACAACATTCAAGGGAATAGGAGCTGTGTGCTAATCTAAAGGGTAGTCAGTGCTGATGGCGGCATTTCAGGCTTGCTCTCCACACTCAATCAAGCCGTTGCTAACAAACGAGGGAGAGGAATAATGCCAGAGTTCTACATCTTCTTCCTGCCTGGAAATTGTCTTGATTTAAGAAACTGTCCTGTGGCAACCTCTGGCTTTCAGAATGTAACGAGGGGGTGGGTTTCAAAGCCCTGTTTACTTAATAGCAGGTCACTTCTGTCTCGAGCAAAACAGCAGCGCCGGCTAGAATTTCCAATGCAGCCAAGGGGAAATAGCCAGTGAGCGTGGTGTGATGAGGTGGGGTGAAGGCTGCTCAACCTGGGGGTCGTGAGACAGATGGAATTAATGTGCATCTTGCAAAGGGGAGGGGGGAAGAAGTTAAGCTTCAAGTCAAATAATTTTATTGCAAATTTTCAGCAAGGAAAAAAACACAAGAAAATCGCCTAATTGACCCACAGCAGAGTGATGGTTGAATACACCATTGGACATACATACAAGGAAAGTCTATGTAGCTGGTGAAGAGACCAAAACAGCTCTCTGTGGAGGGGGAGCCTTGGAGGGATCTCTAAAATAGGGGATAAGTGCAAAACAAAAACACAAAAAAACAAGTCCTAGATCATTCAAAATGTGTGATTTCATTTATGTAGAAAGAAACCCACAAAATAAAACCATATATTTATGAAGGTACTTGTAAATGCATGTACATTCAGAGAGAAATTTCCAGAAAAATATACACTAAACTGATACTAGTAATTACCTCTAGGGAGGAGAATAAGATTGGGGGTAAAGAGAAAAGTTTGTTTTTGACTTTATATACTTCTGTCTTGTTTGAATATTTTATAACAAGAACGTATTTGTATATTACTGGTGTAATTAAAAATAAATAAGCCAGTAAACAGATTTTTTTAAAATCCCGTAACAACAAAAAGCAGTGGGGGGAAGAAAACCCAGAACAAGGAGGTAATGACAGAGAGGAAAAGAAGGCAAGCACAGGTGGAAAAGAAGGGTTAGTGTCAGAGGGGAGAGGCATGACCTTGACAGGCTCTGTGTCCCCAGGAAGGATCACAGAAGAACTAATCAGGCCATCCCATGCCAGGGCTCCCCAGGGCCCATGTGGCATCGTTTTGGAGTTCACATACTCGGTCCTCCAGCCTGGATCCAGCTTCTGTTTTGCCTACATGAAGATTTGAGTTGCCTTCAACTCACTGACTGTATAGGGAGAGGGTTTGCCAACACCCCTATATCCCTGGATGCCTTTGTCTCATTATCCTTCCTGGAGAAGGGGCTTTGAAACGATGGACTTGGCCACACAGATTGAGACCATCAACCTTATTTTATGCCTCAGTGAGAGGCACAATTCTGCTCTCAGGCCCCAAAATACTGCTGCAAAGTGGCACTATGATGCAAGAGGCATTTAGTGCTATGGGGGAAGCTACTAGTTCCAATCTCTGGAGCAGTATCTTCTGGGAGGGAAGAATCCCTCTTTTCCAGGGATCTCTTGGTACAAAGTAAGTCTGAACAACTTCCTGAGTCATTTTGCCAGTTGCATAAGCCTCAATTGCCTACATCTATATTCTTTTAATTTTCACCTTGTAGGGAATCCAGCAGTAATTGTGATATAAGACAATCCCTGCACAGTTGTATACACAGGATTTCAAAACTCAAGAAATACACATGAGATACATAGAAACACCATGTTTCTCTGGGCTGGCTCCATATGTGGGGCACTGTTTAAACAATGGAATATGTGAAGACATAGAGAAAGGTCCATTTTGTACAATATGTTGTGCTTGAGTGTGCTAAATTTTGGAGGGCTTAAAAAGGATCAGCAAATATGAGAGCTCATTCTTATATACACCAACAGGTGAATGCATGTATACAAGGGCACACAGGAGACACACACATATACACACACAGCATGCACACACACACACCAAACATTACATACACACCCAACACCTATACATATACAATGCACACTCGCATGTATGCACATGCACACTCGCACACACACACACACATGCACACACACACGTAGCCCAACAAAATAATAAGGTCTTTACAAAACACTTATAGACTCAGTCGATGTGTTCCAAGGGACTATGTGGAAAAGCCCATGTAGGAAGATAATCGTGGAAATACATAATCAAATCTATCATGACTAAAATTAGCAAGGTATTTATCTGCTTATGTTCTTCTACGTGTATGACTATTTGTTTCTCTTCAGGTGATTATTTTTAATTACAAGTGTTTACTACATCAATTTACTAGTTTACTAAACCTAGAATTGTTTAAAAGTTTACAAAAAACATACAGATTAATGATTAGGAAGTAATTACATGACCCCTAGGTCATGTATCCTGCATCTTTACACTAAATTGTGGAGTCTCAAACTATTCCTTTTAGATTTGTGTCCTAACATATTTTTAAATCAAGAATATCACATGCACATATGTGTGTGTACACATACCAGCCCAGGAAAATATTGCTGGGCTTCTACATGAATGGGAGCCAGGGAGTGGCCAGAAGAAGGGGTTGGCCTTCCATACAGCAGAAATAATGAAAGAACTCATTAAAGCCACTTAGTTAAAAACAAAAAGTGACATGACCAAGATTCATAGAAGTACTCATGGTGTCATAATAAAATGCTAAAAATAGTTCCATAAGTAAATTCTGCTATAAGTGTCATATCTCAAAGCACTAGGTTTGGGTAGACAAGACAAAGAGAGTGTATAGACACTGATATGGTTAATACATTTGGCATCAGCTAAACTTCATGCTTGATGAGCAGCTGAACTTGGCTGCAAATTCCTTTTAATAAGGTCTCCCAGGGTTTAGATATTCCTAGACAGAGCATAAGGGAAGGGCTGAGTCCTCGGGCCCATAACCAGATGAAGAAGCAGAGGCATGATCAAAGCTACAGCTATCACATCCATCTGGGATTTTCTTTTGTGAATGAAAAGAAGGAAAAAGCATCGATAATGTGACCTTGGACTTACAGGCAATATGGACACTTTGGGAAAGTTATGAAGCGTCTCCCATTCCCGCTTGAGGTACTCAATGGAGCCCACAAACACGATGTGCTTGAGCTCGTGGTAATGAAAGTTGCTGGCACGGAGTGGCATCACCAGGTTCCGGAGGCCAATCAGGGCTGAGCTGACATCACCAAAGATGCAGACCACGACGTGGCCACTCAGGACGGTCATGGCGGCTTCACTTCGAGTCTGCAACACGGAGAAGTGCACCATCATTGGAGAAAAGACCTCACAGTGTTTTGGTAAGGATTTCAAAAACCACTTTCATAAAGAGAAACATTTGTTGAGTGCTTACTATGTGCTATTGTTTTTATTTCATCAATGTTACGTATATGCCATATACACTTACAATATGAGTATATGTGCATGCATTATACTGGGGTAATAAATATGTAAACATATATCCACACATAACCTGACCTTCTTTGACAAAAGATATAAGAAAGTTATGTCGTCATACATATGAGCAGGTGGTATTTCCTAATGATTTGGGGGTGGGGAATAAGAGGGAAGAGCAATATTTTGTGTTTAAAAAGAGAAGTCTTAGGGGCACCTGGGTGGCTCAGTCAGTTGAGCATACAACTTTGACTTGGGTCATAACCTCGCAGTTTGTGAGTTCGAGCCCCATGTCGGGCTCTGTACTGACAGCTCAGAGCCTGGAACCTCCTTCAGATTCTTTGTCTCTCCCTCTCTGTGCCCCTCCCATGTTCATGCTCTGTCTCTCTCTGTTTCTCAATAGTAAATACAAACATTAAAAAATATATTGGGGCGCCTGGGTGGCTTAGTCGGTTAGGCGTTCGACTTTCGCTTAGGTCATGATCTCGCGCTTCATGGGTTCAAGCCCCGCGTCGGGCTCTGTGCTGACTGCCAGCTCAGAGCCTGGAGCCTGTTTCGGAGTCTGTCTCTCTCTCTCTCTCTCTGACCCTCCCCTGCTCATGCTGTCTCTCTCTCTCTCCTAGAAATAAATAAAAATATTAAAAAAAAGAAAGCTCTCTTTAATATATATATACACAAATATATATTAAAAAAAGAGAAGTCTTAGTTTCTATGAAATTTCTGGTAAAAGTAGTAGTCTTTGCTGTCTCTCTTGCTGAAATGAAGACAAAATGGTAAGATGTTATGCTAGTATTAGCTTGAGAAGTTTGAGTTTTGAGTTCTGGACTCATCAATGGGATTTCACATTACATTATAACATCAACAGGTAGAACATCACACCCTGAGACAGGGGCTGGCAAACTATGGCCCACGGGCCAAATCTGGCCCATAACCTGTTTTGGTATGGCCATGGCTGGTGAGCCAAGATTGGTTTTTATATTTTAAAATGGTTGCAAAAAACAAAAAAATAAGATTTCATAATGAGAAAATTGTATAAAATTCAAATTCCAAAAAAATTTTATTGCAACACAGCCCATCTTATTCATTTAGTATTGCCTGTGGCTGCTTTTACATTACAACGGCAGAGCTGATTAGCTGTGACAGAGACCGTATGGCCAGGAAGACCTAAATTATTTATCATATGATCTTTTGCTGACCCCTGTCCACTGCTGCCTTGTGGTTTCCAGGGAGTGCCTGGAGTGGCCCACCTGTGTAAGTCATCAGACTATGACTTTAGTCATCAGATTATTCCCAAATAGCAATTAAAAGGATCTAGAGATAGATCAGCAAGAGCAATAAGCCCATGTCTTCTCCCAACCCTAGGTTTGATCTACAAAGGAGACAAATGAATGAATAAAATCAATGCAGTGAGAGGAGGACCCCAGCTTCCCACACAAATGGTTAGCCACTGCCACCATTCTGCTCAGTGTGACAGTGAAGAGAGTAACATAGGAGGCTTTCTCTGCCTCTCCTTCTGGTCCAATACCTCCCATTCTTGCCTTCCTTGCTCCCTGTCCACTCACTGCATGCCTAGATGGCCCCATGTGACTCACAATGCTTTTGGGGAGGCATATTAATGTCCACAGCACATATCAAACTCTGTTTGATTTTATCCCTAGAATTGACCAGTGTATTGATTGTTTAAATGCCAATATTGCAATTCACGACAATGTCAGGGTTATTACAGTAACCCCCAAGGAGAAGAAGAAGCTAGCTTTCACTCCCTGATCGTTACAATAAAGCAGGGGCTGTCACCATTATTGGTTTCCCTCTGTGATAGTACCGTTATACCTAAGACAGGGGCTGTAAGAAATGTCTTATAAACAGTGACCAAGGAGGACCCACTGGGAAGTCACATTCCACATCACCACTTCATGGACAAGACCTGGAGTTAGTTATCTTGGCTGCTTGGATGTGTGAGTGCTTGGGTACCACCAGCAGAGCATCAATGAGTCTATAAGATGCTATAATGGGGTTTCTAATTACTTTTAATTGGTCAGGTCATCTGGGAGTCTAGTTCTCTCAATGAGTCTGAGGAATACAACCTGGATCCAAAGTTGAGGCTGGAAATCTACACTGGGAGGTGGGGAAGGCACCATTTAGCAAAGTGGCTGACCACAGAGCTTAGCTCTGGGGACAGAAACATCAATGTTTAGATCGGCCACAGTAACATGATCCACAGAACCCTTTCAAGACCCCAGTTCCGGGAGAGCCTGATCTTGCCAGATTTAAGACCCAGTACAGCAACTACTCATGTACACATCTCATGCTTCCTACACATTCTTGAAGTCCTAACTCAGGCTGGGCCTTCATAGCCTTAAACCCATCAAAGCACAATCTGTTTGCACTCAAGACTTCTCTGGCCTCTCAGATGCATCCTAGTCCTTCTCCCCTAGATTTGAATAGCATTTTGTGCTTCATAACACTTGGCTTTAAATATATTGTTTCATAGTTACATTTTATGTCTTCTAAATAGATGCTCATTTCCTCAAGATTGAGGCCACTTCATATTTTCAAACCACCAGAGCAGTTAAGTGTCCCACACCCAGTGGGTACATGCAACCCCAAAGCATCTTCACACTGCTGGCTCTTCTGAGAATTCTCATCTCTGCTCCAGTGTGACTTTGGAGAGGACTTCTTGGAACATACTGTCTAACTAGCTCCTCCCAGTTCCTTTCTAACCCATGGCTCTGCTTGATTGTCTTTATAGCGCTGTAGCAGTATCTGAAATGCTTTTCTATACTCATCATCTACCTCTTTGCCCCCACTAGAACATCAGTTAGTCAGGGGTTATCCCCCTGGTGACAAGAGCAGTGCCTAGCAAGTAAATGGCTTGTTAAAAATGTTTTGGTAAATGATGTTTTTCAGATGACAGAGGTAGTAACTCGCTTCCCTAAACTCTTTCATGCCAGAAGAGACTCAGTTTTGATGTCAACTAGCCATAAGATCTTCAGGAATATAGGCAAGCCATTAAGACCCCGGATTCCCGATATAGCACCCAGCCCTTTTACCTGCCACGGATGGGTAACACCACTCTGAGTTTGGGTCACCAGGGCAAAAGTGCAGTGAATACAATAGGATGTAAATACACAGAGCACCTTTGTGATTAGAACCATTTGCATTCCTGGTAAATTGGACAACTGCTGTTTGTTGAGAATTCCGACTTTCTGTGCTTTTGTCTGCAACTTTCACACCTCCAAGACAGCTTCTAGCACAGCCCTGTATTGGCTCATAATTGCTTGATTATAAATAAACTGAGAAAACACACACATACACACATTCCAAGAAAACACAGGGAAAAGTCTAGTGGATTGGAGTACAAAGCCATTCTAAGGGGCTTCTTTTCTAAGAAGGGAGGCCATGACGTCAGAAATGATAGAATTTTCCTGGCTGACATAAAGAAGCAGGGCACAGTGATCTGCAATGAGAAGGCACAAAGGAGAAAGAACCCTTCCATCTGACCTTCCTATTAATCCATTTTTTCATGATTAACAAGACAATGAACTGTGGGGAAGCTGATGTGGGCATTAAAACCTAAAGCTGTGAACAGAACAAGTCTGGAGAGTAGATGGATTGTTCTCTAGGCTGACATTCCTAGGGCAGACCAGAAGACGCCCACTGCGGCTACCGAGATGACCCAACCACAAAACAGGGCTCTGAGCTCCCACCTCCCCGAGATAGACCCATGCACGGGTCATCGTTGTCATCATCACCAATGCATTTTGCATCATGTGTTAAGCAGGGTCTCAAATACACAAGGCTATTACCCAGAAGAATGCAAGACATTGTTATAAACAAATAACTGTTTATTATGTTGGTAGCATTCACATTTCTTTGTGGGATTTAATAATAATAATAAGTAACTATTGAGTCCCATGTGGGTTTTACTCTTCACTACAACCCTGGGAATTAGGGTCATTCTCATCTCACCTTCGTAGATATAAGAGAATTGAGGTGTAAAGAAGTCAGACAGAGCCACATGCATAGGGATTACAGTACCTACTGCCTCCCATGATGCCTTTCACATAGCACATGACCACCCCTTATCGTGATGAGCTAATAAATGTTCAGAGATTTAAAATTCCACCCTTGGTTTATATTCTGATGAGAGCTCTAGTTGCTTCAGTGTGTCCCTAATTTTAATTATCAAAGATAATTAGGACCAGAGATTGTATCTTCCCACCATCCAGTTAGGGAACCCTCATTCCCAGCAAATGTAGTTTGAGACAGAAGTGAACAGCATGGATTCCATGGCCCGCCACTCACCAGGATGACCTTCTCTATCTCCTTGGGTGCACACCAGTGAAACATGCCAGTAGAGTCATACTTCTTCACGTTAGAGTCCATGTTGTCAATCTGATCATTGCCAGGAATTAACAAGGGGTCATGCCTGGGGAGGAAAGGACAAGAAAACATAAGTGGAAAATGTAATAAATTATAAATGGAAAGTGCCCCCTGAGTTAGATCTCAGAGGAGTTGAAAGATGCACAAGAAGTGGCTGTCACTGAAGGCCATTCTTTTGCTTGCAGAACCCATTCTTTGAAAGGCAACTACCCCAACCGCCATCACCACTTGGAAATGCAGGTGACCTTTATCAGCTAATAATTCCACCTTCCCCTCCTGTTCCTATTTCTCTAAAATGGCCTTCATGTCATTTTGTGGATTTAGCTTCCTTTTCATGGATATCCCTCCCTCCTATTCTCATTTTACAAGCTACCCAATCTCCCCAGCCTGCACACGCATGCACACACAGACACACACACACGCATACACACTCACACCAAAGGGTTGTTATTAGCATTGGCAATGAAGAGGAAGGAATAGGAATAGAGCCTCATGCTGACTGACTGGCATGAGGATGGAAAGCCAATTACTTGCTCTTCCTGACTACAACTTCTGACGTGATGCTCTTCGCAGTAAAAGCTTTAACAGGCTGCACTTTAAATATTTTAGCAATTTGCCCAATCAGATTTTGCTCTCCCCGGCTGAAGCCCTTTAAAGATTCAGCAGCATGTCACTTCAGAGCAGATTGACTACCAAATGCCCACATCTGGAATACATGATTTCAATACTAAACAACACCCTCTCTCCTTGCCGTGACAACTGTATTTGCACTAACGGTCCAATGACAGTCTCCCCCACCCCCGCTTCACCTCCCCACTGCAGCATTCCTTGGATGAGCGCTCACACTCAGACGCATCTTAATAAACTTGTCTTGAATTCGCTCTCTTGCCTTGTTTACTGGTGGAAAGGGAAGATGCTGCTATAGAGGCCTCCCCCTCAGTGGGTTGGCAGAGCCTCACCAAAAACCTTAAGAATTATAATAAAATCAGGCAGATCTAACAGGCTTACAGCATAAGAAATATACTCCTACATCTTGGGGTATATCCATTGTCAGCTTCCATCTGTGATAGCGATTTCATATCCCCGTTTCAGGGGAGGTCATTTGGGTTTCTACAACATTGACCACATATAATTGGGACAATGTCCCTGGCATACCTAGCTATCATTTTGCAGGGGAACTATCTTCCTTAAATAATACTGCCGATTCAAGGCAGAAAATATAAATAGGCTCAAATACTTAAAACTTATTATAAAGTGATTTTACCTTTTAAGTTATCTATGTCAAGCATCAAAGGGGATTCTTTATTGAGTTTTTAGTATTTCTCCCTCTGAAATTTCTCTGATACGTCTCATTTATATATCCACAAAACAAAAAGTGGGACAGGAATGGTCCACAGACCTAGAATTAAGCTTTCAGGATATCTATCATGATTCCCTTCCCTTCAGAATTCCTTCCACTCCCACTTAAGATGGGAAAATTCTCACTGCATTTACTCATTCCTGAGAATTTGCTTTTAGGCTATACCAAATGACAGATACCCTGTGAGGCAATCCTGCAAAGTTACCTTCAACAAACATGCTAGATTACTATAGGAACTGTCATATCTAATCTTCAAAGGGGAAGAACAATCCACCTTGGAATGGCGTCTCAGTAGCTGAGCTGTTGGGAGGTCTTAAGGTGTTGTAAACCACCAGGCCACCTTTCAAATACTGAACTCGGTCAAAAATGCTAAAGTGAAAAGGCAGTTGTTCTTAAGAACTGGTCACAGATCAGGGCAAGAGCAACTTTTTGATTTTTTTTTTAATCCTTGAAGAAACTTTAATAGTTTTTTTAGATACCCATCTGGGATAGGTAGCTGGAGAGAAACCACCAAAGAGAAGAGAATTCAGAAAATGAACACAATGAACTCTTCCCAGCCCTTGAAGAACATATTTTGCAAGAGGATATTAATAAATTTACCTTGAAGAAATAGAGCCAGGTTCAAATTCCCTTGCCCAGTTTATTGGTTAGAAAAGGAAGTATTATCTCAAAGTCTGAGAACTTCCCCCTAATGCATTCAACATTTAAAAGATAGGACAATATTTAGAGAAAATCTGCAGGCAAGCAAATGATATAGCAAGCTGGCCAAAATTGCTTCTAGAAAACATGTGCCTTGGGCAAAAGAACATACATTTGGATTCCCTACCTTTTTGGAAAAGAATCATTCCTTGGTCACAAAGGCCTCCAACCCCCATTTTAGAAAAGTAAATAAATAAGCCTAATAATCAGTCATCTCTCAATAAGAGGAAAAAAGTCAGTTTTTTGTTTTTTGTTTTTTGTTTTTTTTTTTAACATTTATTCATTTTTGAGAGTGGGAGTATGAACAAGGAACAGAGCGTGAACTGGGAAGGGGCAGAGAGAGAGGGAGACACAGAATCTGAAGCAGGCTCCAGGCTAAGAGCTGCCAGTACAGAGCCCAATGTGGGGCTCAAACTCATAGACTGCGAGATCATGACCTGAGCTGAAGTTGGATGCTTAACTGACCGAACAACCCAGGTGTCCCCAAAAGACAGTTTTTTAATGCCAAGCCTCATTAAACTGGGGTGGGGGTTTGCAGAAAGCAGGTGTAATTTTAAAATCTTATTTATTCTTGAAATAGAGTTGATATACAATGTTATATTAGTTTCAGGTATAATTTGACACTAGGTTTGCGAGCCATGATTGGCACTGGGATACCTAGAAGCATTAGAGAAGTCTCAGTGGTATGCCTTATTGCACTCTGTACTTCCTACACACCTCTCACCCTGGCTTGGATAATTTAAATGTATTATCCAAGACATTCCTCAAAAAGTTTTATCTGAGGAACTTAAAAAAATCCCCTCAAACAAATATGTTTTCTTTTCTGACCAGCAGGGTACCTGGAAATCTTTGATTTCTTAAATCATCAAAGCAACCAATAAACATACATTTTCTATTCTGATTCAGAAATAGAAGATACCCTACTAATTAAGACATAATCCCTAGTCAAAAAGAGGGTCATAATACAGCAAGAAAGAGAAAATGTCAATTAATAGTTGTGATACACTGTGATGAGTGTCATAGCATGCAAGGTGGTATAACAATACCAAGAAACTGTTAATTGCCTGGTATTTGAGAAACATTAAGGAAGGCTTCCCAGAGAAGATAACATGGAATCTCAGCATATTTTGGTGTTGATCCACTAGCCATCATTAGGACCCACTCAGAGAACTGAGGCCCGAATAAACCCAAACATGGCACCCCCAACTGTGGTTGGAGATGTTGGCTGTGGTATTGGCCCAACGTGAGTTATAAAAGACTTGGGCCAGGCACACTAGCTGTCTTCTTCTTCTTCTTCTTTTTTTTTTTTTTTAATTTTTTAATGTTTTATTTATTCTTGAGAGAGCGAGAGAGAGAGAGAGAGAGACAGAGCATGAGTGAGGGTAGGGCAGAGAGAGAGAGAGGGACACAGAATCTGAAGCAGGCTCCAGGCCCTGAGCTGTCTGCACAGAGCCTGACATTGGGCTCGAACTCACAAGCCATGAGATCATGACCTGAGCTGAAGTCGGATGGCCAATCAACTGAGCCACCCAGGTGCCCCATACACTAGCTGTCTTCTGATGTGCAATGGTGGTAACTGAATGGAAAATAAAATCCACTGATTGTGTACAATTGGTTAAGAGCAGATGAGGAACCATGTGTGGAATTTAAATAGAACAAAAATCAAGTTTCCAAACATAAAAAAAAGTTATAAAAATGGAAGGCTTTTTTTTTTTTAATGACATGAGTTATGCCCCAAGGCTGTGGATTTCTCAACATTCGGACATTCCAGAAAAGCTGGGATATAGAAATGTCATTATAAATGTTGGGTGAACCTAGAAGACTCTTGAGGTTTGAAGCACTTCCTTTCTCACTGAGGAAGACAAGGTTAGGATTCCAGAAATACTTGGCCATTGCTGGACATCAAAAGACAGAGGGCACTAAGTAACTGAAGAAAGATTGTTGTTGGAGCAAAGATGGGAGATAGGGAGAATTCAAAAGACTGATCACGTTAGAGTTCCAAGATGGACCCATAACTGTTTCTTCATCTAGGAGGCACATGATTCATTCCAGCACAAGCGTCCATAACCACTTTGAACCAGACAGGATACATTTCTTTATCATGTCTGTTCTTGCAGTCTTTTCAAGTGGCTTAGGTTGGCTTGAACTCCTGAGAGGTCTCTGACATAGGTGAGCAGTGAAGAGCCAGTCGGTTACAGGAACTTCTGCTGCTAAACTGAGATTGATGGAGCTTATATCAATAAAAGAAAATTCAAGCATTAGCCACTGAGTAGAGCAACCAGCATTGCCCTGACCAGGGGAGGCCCAGGAGAAGAACCTGGCAGTTTGTTGTACATAGAAAGGAAGACCACCAGAAACCACTCTGAACAAAGCATCCCAGCATCACTGATTCACAAAATGATGAACAGAACCCACTGAAATGTCCTGAGACAATTCCTCAAAGACCACCTAGTTGGAATCAAGGGCAATACTAGATACTGTCTTTCCTATCTTAATTATTTTATACATTGTCCCAGCCCACAAAGTAATCTAGACTCCCCTAAAATGCACCATAATTGATTCAAGGCTTATTTGTCATTTACCACTGAGCCAATGTGTATGCATTATTTTAAGATAACAGAAACCTTACGAGGTGAGGTCTATCTACTGCATAGTTGTTAAATGGGCATAATTTTGTCCCCCACAATGTCTGTACACTGAAGTCCTAAGTCTCAGTACCTCAGAATGTGACTGTATTGTATGATATGGCCTTTAAATAAGTAATTAAATTAAAGTGAGGTCATTAGGATGAGCCCTAATTGAATATGGCTGCTTACCTTATAAGAAGACAAAATTTAGACACGGACATGTGCAGAAGGAAGACATGTGACATGTGAAGATAGGGGTATAAGGGAGCCATCTAGAAACCAAGGAGAAAGACATAGAACAGAGCCTTCCTTCACCTACTCAGAAGGAACCAACCTTACCAGCACCTTGATCTTGGACTT